CTGAACAAGATAACTAAAATATCCTTAGGCTTTATTAGTACATTCAACAGACACTTATGCATATGTGTTTGGGGACGGGGGGGGGGGTGGTTAAGGGCGAGATTTCCTTGTAAGGGTGGAGACAGATTCCTAAAAAAATTTACAATTTAATCTTGGGGTGGCGGAGAAGGGGTGTGGTGTCTGCAGGGACAGGTTCCCGGAGAAGCCTGTCTTGTTCCAGACTGACTCCAGCAAGGGAGGCTGAGGCTGATAATTTTACTGTTTGAATCCATTTCCTCCTGCTATATCTTTACTCTGATTTTTAAAAGATACTTATTTGGGTAGAGTGGCCACCTGTGGCCTAGCGCTCCCCCTTTTTGCTGCTCATAACTCGGGATCTTGACAACCAGCGAAATCTGCAGTCTTTTATTGCCCGCCCCTTGAGCTGCTTAAGCCGCGCCCCGCAGTTCTGGCGCTAAGTTCGGGCCAATAAAATTGCCCTCCAAGGACCACAGGAGGGAAAGGAAGCTACGAGCCAATGACAGGCCAGTTATAACCGCATAGGGTGGGGGGGAGTCTTTTAGTGGTTCCTTTGGACCAATGAGGAGCAGATTAAGTGCCTAAGCGCGGAACAGAGTCCAGCTTCCGGAAACACATGACCAGTGAGCAGAAGCAGGCTAACCCCACCTTCTGGCTTGGAGGTAGCGCGATGGGCTACGCTTCCAATGGCTCGTAGAACCTCTAGTCACGTGCAGTTTTTGCAGGCCCAGCGGCATCCGGCAGGTCATGTGACACTTGACGTTAGCGCTCCGTTCCCCAATGGAAAAGAAGAGCTGTCTTCACAGGACCAGGAATTGGTTTATCCCCACTAATAATAGCATGGCGGGGGCGGGGGCAGCCTATCACGTGCTGCGGGACGGAACGGGGCGGGCTGCTGGTTGCGGGGTGAGACGGGCGTGCGGCGCGCAGGCGCTCTGGGGACCAGGTAGCGGCGGCGGCGGTGGCTGCGGTGGCTGCGGTGACGGCAGCGGTCCCATCCCTGGCCGGAGCGGGAGGTGGCGGTGGCGGCCATGGCGGCAGATGGAGAGCGTTCCCCGCTGCTCTCCGAGCCCATCGACGGTGGCGCCGGCGGCAACGGTTTAGTGGGGCCGGGCGGGAGTGGGGCTGGGCCTGGGGGAGGCCTGACCCCCTCCGCACCACCGTACGGAGCCGGTAAACATGCCCCGCCCCAGGGTAAGCCCGGGAGGGTCCGAGGTGTTCCCGCGGGTGCTCTGCTGGGCAGGAGGGGGCGGGGCCAAGGGCGGAGGCGGGACCCAAGCGTCAGGTGCAAGGCTGCTGCACCTGTGACGGGGTGGGCTGTCTCTCCGCCATCGCGGGCAGCGCTCAGGAACTGCCGGGGGTTCTCGGAAAGCAAAGGGAAGCGCCGAACAATCTTTCTTGGTCAGAAAGACTAAGGACCAGAAGGAGTTCCCTGGCACCATAGACCATCAGTGGGAATGTTTGCAAGTGATCCCAGCCCTACTCTTTATCTGCTTCCTCTCCAGCATTTCCCCCGTTCCCGGAAGGGCACCCAGCTGTGTTGCCTGGGGAAGACCCACCCCCCTACTCACCCCTGACCAGCCCTGATAGTGGAAGTGCCCCCATGATCACCTGCCGAGTCTGTCAGTCTCTTATCAACGTGGAGGGCAAGATGCATCAGCATGTAGTCAAATGTGGTGTCTGCAATGAAGCCACTGTGAGTTCTACTTATCTTCAAAAATGGGCCCTGTTTCCTGCTCCTCTTTTTGATCTCTTGATTTTAAACGCCGACTTTCAGGTGTTCCCCAAGTGTTCTACATGAAACTCAGGTTTCAGTTCAAGAATCTCAGATATCCGTTTCCCCAGAAGCCACACACCAAAGTTAATGTTTACCATTGGTCACTTTTATACTTACTCTGGATATTAAATCTAGTTCTCATTAGCAAATCTCATGATATATGCCTTTCTTTCACTTCTTCCTGATTAGGACCTTATCTCTGAGTTCTCCTCAGAAGGTGTTTTGGGAGGGAATTGGAAAGGACCGGGATCTGAGGTTTGCTTGCTGACATCCTCATTATTTTATAGCCTATCAAGAATGCACCCCCAGGGAAAAAATATGTTCGCTGCCCTTGTAATTGTCTCCTTATCTGCAAAGTGACTTCCCAGCGGATTGCCTGCCCTCGGCCCTATTGGTAAGAGGCATCAGGTGGGGAGGGGCATAAGTGGGGAAAACTGGAAAGCCAAAGAAGGATAAATGTTTATAGAGAATATAAGTGTGTTGGAGTTTATTTAGGAGAAAACGTTAAGGATTGTTGTGCCTCAAAATGTTACAGCCATCTATCTCATCTCTTGATAAGATTGGGAGGAAATGGTGTCCTTTAGGAGAATGGAGAGCCTTGGGGACTGGGAGGATTATTCCTGAGGTGAAAGAACTGAAGACCTGACATTTAAGCAGTGTGTTTCTTCAAGGATTCTCTGTGGTGGAGAAGAGGGATAGAGCCCCTCTGCAGAGAAGTAGAGGAGCTTGATAAGAGAGGCAGGGAGTGGGGAGTGTGAAGGAGGAATTAAAATCCTTAGGATTAAAAATGTTTTAAATGTAGTCTTTTTCTCCTATACAGCAAAAGAATCATAAACTTGGGGCCTGTGCATCCAGGACCTCTGAGTCCAGAACCACAACCTGTGGGTGTCAGGGTTATCTGTGGACATTGCAAGAATACTTTTCTGGTGAGGAGGGGCATTGGGGAGCCCAGGGGAAAAACTAGGAATAATTCTATTTCTCTGAGTAATAATATGAATCCTGAAAAGGTGTGCTTCCTGCCCTCCCCCCCACCCAGGGTTCTCAGTGAGTATGACCCTGCTTCTATCATTAATTGGCTTCTCCCTTTTTCTTTCTCTGTAGTGGACAGAGTTCACAGACCGAACCTTGGCACGTTGCCCTCATTGCAGGAAAGTGTAAGTGATTAGGGAGTGGCATCATTTAGCTGGTAATACAGTAATGTGTGGAGTAAAAACTACAGGAACATCACAAGCATCCACTCCTGTTTGCCTCCCCACAGGTCATCTATTGGGCGCAGATATCCACGAAAGAGATGTATCTGCTGTTTCTTGCTTGGCTTGCTTTTGGCAGTCACTGCCACTGGCCTTGCTGTGAGTAACCTTGACTCAACCCTTTTCATTCTTCCTGATTACCTCCTCCTCAGCCTTATCTCCATAGGCTGGGAGATTTGGGAAATACCTACCCTAAAAAAAGGTGAAGTGCGGTGGTTAAGTGCTTGACTGCTAACCGAAAAGTCAGTGGTTCAAACCCACTGGCTGCTCCATGGGAGAAGGATGGGGCAATCAGCTTCTGTAAAAGATTACAGCCTTAGAAACCCTATGAGGCAGTTCTGCTGTGTCCTACGGTCACTGTGAGTCAGAATTGACTCAAGGGCAGTGGTTTGGGTTTTAAAGAAAGGTGAAAGAAACTGAGGACTGTTTGCTTAAGTTTTCTTTTAAGGCATAGATGAGCTAATATTGAAGGTAGCTGATAAACAGTCTTCATTGTTACTGTAGAAGTAAAAAAATAGCCATTCTCTCTCTCTAAAAAGGACAGGACAGTGGAGAAGGGGCTTATATTAAGATTTGCTATTAAGAAGGCTGGAAACCCTGGTGGCGTAGTGGTTAAGAGCTATGGCTGCTAACCAGAAGGTTGGCAGTTCGAATCTACCAGCTGCTCCTTGGAAACCCTATGGGGCAGTTCTACTTTGTCCTGTAGGGTCACTATGAATTGGAATTGACTTGATGGCAATGGGTTTGGGTTTTTTATTAGGAAGCCTGGCTCAGTTGTGAGACATAAAGAAAAACTGACAGGTGTCTGTCTGGGATGGTATGAATATGTTCCTGCCTAGGGGAAGGAAAGTGAGCAGCTTGACCTTTAAAAAGGTCCCTGAAGGTAGTTACAGGTGGATAGGGAATTGGGACAGAAGCTTGAGTTCTGTGTCACTATTACCAGGGCTCCTGGGAAGTGGTAGGAGATCAACACTAACCCCATCTTTTTTTGCTTTTTCCTCACCTTCTTCAGTTTGGCACATGGAAGCACGCACGGCAATATGGAGGTATCTATGCAGCCTGGGCATTTGTCATCCTGCTGGCTGTGCTGTGTTTGGGCCGGGCCCTGTATTGGGCCTGTATGAAGGTCAGCCACCCTGCCCAGAACTTCTCCTGAGCTCCACCATGATACACAGACTGTACCTGGCCCCTCCCTGGTGGGGACAGTGACACTACAAAGGGAGTTGGGGTAAAGGGCTCCCTGGGCTTTCATAAGAGAAGCCAAGCAGCTGCCTTCCTTTTCCCAGGGGAGAGGTAGGAAGGAACCAGGCCCTCACGTAGGTTTGGAGGGGTAAATAAGACCACCGGTGGCCATCTGCTCTCCTCCAGGGGTTGCTGTGTTTAAGGGTGAAGTAGGCACAGTGTTGCCCCTAAACCTGGGCTCTAAAAGACGGTTCTAGCCTTGGCCTTCCCATATGTTCCCTGAGAGCCATTCCTGTCCTTTAAACATTCCAGGGCAGGGGTGGGGCAGGGTAGCCCTGGGGGTTTCCCTCCCTTTTGTGCACCATTAGGACCTTGCCGCTGCTATTGCACTTCACCAGGGGCTGGCTCTGGCCTCAGTACCCTCAGTCTCCTCTCCCCACATTCCGTGTCCTGTGGGGGTGGGGTCAGCCGCTGCTCTGTACAGATTCACAGGAACTGATGTATATATAACTATTTAATGTGGGGGTATGTTCCCCTAGTCCTGTATTTCCCTTAATTCCTCCTTCCAACCTTCTTAACCCCAGTTGCAGTTATTTGTCTGGGCTGGATAGGGTTGCTGTGTCTTAGGGGAGGTCAGGGATTCATCTATGCTTGTAAATAAATAAGGTCATGACTCTATTCTTTTCCATTTGTTAACTTGTATGTATGAAAAGACAGGGAAGAAGGGAATTTGTAGTCCCACCAAGGAGTAGATAAAACATAGACAGCAAGGCTGAAACTATGGATTTTTATTTTCACAAGGACAGTAGCTTTTGTTTAATGTAAAAACAAAAAACTCACAAAACAAAAATGTTGGGCTTAAAAGTTCAAGATAGAAACCGAAATCTGTCAGTAGGAGCATGTTTGGAGAATTACTATAGTTTTAGAAGGCATATACTGCACAGATTCCTCAAAAGAAATTTTTGAAGAAGAAAGGCTAGTTTGGGGGTCTCATTTTCCAGACTCAAAGTGATTTTTGGGAGGTGTCACAGAGCTAGGAGTAGGGTGATAGGACAGTGATCACTGCCTAAGGCCTTGGAACGGATCTTGCTGTCACACAACACCGGTAACAGAGACTGAGACAACAAAAAATAATCAAGGCGCCAGCCAACATTCTTGGATCGAGCATTCATCATGTAGGTCCAAAAGGTATAGGCGTAGGCTGTATCGGGATAGAGGTGCCGGAAGCTGTCAGCCAGTGGCACAGCCTGCAACAATTCCCCAAAGCCTTGCCGCTCTTGTGGAGTAAAGCCAGCATTCTTTTTGTTTCCCTTGGGGTTGCGAAGGTCAATCTCTTCATGAGCCACATTGAGGTCCCCACATAGCACAAGAGGCTTGCGCGAAGCCAGATCCTTCAGGAATTTGCGAAAGGCTTCGTCCCACCGCTGCCGGTACTCTAGCCGCACCAGACCCCGGCCTGCATTAGGTACATAAACTGTTACCAGCACAAATGCATCAAATTCAGCTACAATCACCCGGCCTTCCTGATCGTGTTCCTCCTCACCTACAGAAAAGATAAAAGACTATCAGCAGAAAGAACTACAAAAGAAAAAGCAAAGAATGAAGGAATCGAGTTGGGGCAGGAAAAGGGTATTAGCAATTGGTTTGGAAGGGCTCAGGCATGAGGGATCAATAGTGTCTCACCAATGCCGTAAGAGACTTTGAGTGGGCACTGGCGGGAGAGTAGGCCCACACCACTGTACCCTTCCTTGTCAGAAGGAGCTGACCAGTACTGATGAGACAGTCCAGGCAAATCTTGAAGTTCAGCTGGTAGTTTTTTATCTGAACATTTCGTTTCTTGGAGGCACAGAATATCTGGGGCTTCTTCCTTTACCCACTGGGAGTGAAAAATAGAAAGTCTTACCAATTCAGACATTTGTTTAACCTCTATATGGTAAATACTAGAAATTCACAGGAGAGCCTTTGTGCACAAGGAGTTCAACAGTCTAGCAGAACAGTATTTAAACAAGTATAAAACAACGTTAAGTGTTCTAACAATAACAACTAAAGCAGAAAGATGAGAAGGGTCTTGAGTGCTCCACCATAAAAAAATTTTTTTTTATAAATACGCAGTGGATAGTTAAGATTTCTAAACACTAGTTAATTGGAATGAAGGATATATTGGAGATATAACGAAGAAAAGTCCAGTAAAGAGATTTTTGAAACACTGGGAAAGAAATGAGGACATAAGACAACGGCAGTGGAACTGAGAGAATGGCTGTTTAACACACACAACTAGCAAGTCTTTGTGAAGTTCCCCTTGTACCTCTTCCACAAGATAATTACAGACAAGGGAAAATAAAAACTGCATCCTACGGACTGAAAAGGTAATTTCACCTCCCCTCCTTGAATTCCACTCACATCTAAACCTTTCTTCTTAATCCAGGCTCGAAGCCCATCCACGTTCCAGGAGCAGATTTTAAGTGTGGCAGATTTGCCACTAGGTGAGGTTGTCCGATCTGGGGGGTCCTCATATAGGACTGTACCCTCTCCTGTTGCCTCTTTTTCGTTTTTCTTTGCTGCCGCCTTACTCTTCTTGGCTTCTGGCTCTACAAAATTAATAATACACAGTGATAAAAGCTGGTGGTTTCCCACCCTTTACATGGAGTTAACCATATGCCCGAGAACCTGCGACTTCATCACATAAAACCTGCAAAAACAAGACTCAGTCCATACTTCCCCTTCCTTCATCGAGAACATTGATTGAAAGCACCCCCACCGCAGCCCCCAGAAAAGGGGCTCATTTTATTTTCCTACCGGTCTTGGGCTCTTTCCCATCTTCTGCCACAGCTCCCTTTTTCCCACGCTTCGGCATCCCTGCAACGAACGCCCTTAGGCACTTGTTCCACGTCGCCAACCGAAGCAAGATTTTTACGGCGTTGCCTACGGACGCAAAGAAATCGTGAAGGTAGCTAAGGCTGGAAAGGAGAAGACTCTTCCCTGAAGCATCCCCATACCAGATCTCGCTTCTAACCGCATTATCTCTGAACCTTTTCCCTGCCTCGGTGCATGATAGGCCCTTCAGCCCCACACCCACTGGACTAGATTCTTCTATCGTGCTTTGGCCGTTCCTCGCGATACCTGCCCTCCCGCCAATCGAGGACCTTAATAATGGGCCCGGATTCAACCTCGTCGGTCAGACCTCCAGAAAAATCCCTCTATGGGCAGAAGAACAGCACCCCCATATCCGACCTGCTCGAGCTCCAGCCTGAGCCTCCTTCCCCGGGCACAAAGAATGGAGCCGCTGTGCCCCCACGTGGGTAACTGGCGTGGTCACGTGATCCTAGGCACGCGGCGCGTGGCCTAAGAATGCGGGTGATTGGACTGTCCATCACCACGTGACGGGGAAGCCCGTCCTTCCCGCTTGGCTCAACTTCTCCGGGGGACGGAAGGTCTTAATCCTCCGTTCTGGGGCTGTTTATGTTTGTGCCAGAGGCATAACTCATCCTGCGCCCCTGACCGAAGATCCCAACGCTGTGCAAGAGGGAAAAACATCGGTAGAGAAGGCTGAACTGGACCACGGGGGTAATATGGGTAGCGGATAGGAATGTAAGGGGCAGATGCCAGCTCAGTATGCCTGGCAGTTAGGAGGACATATCTCTGAAGGGGCCTTCACAGGTCGCCGTGACGAGGGGGGCGTGCGAGCGTCTCGGGCGTTCCCTTCCGGGTTCTCTGGGTGTGTGCTGCTGCTGGTTGCTGTCTAGCAGCCGCGGGCTAGCTGTCTTCCTTTTCAGCCCGGATTCTGCGGCTGAGCACGGACTGGTGAGGAGCTCCATAGGTCGCGTTTTCTTTCAGGCTCGGCCATGCCGGCGGTGCTAGGTTTCGAAGGCAGCGCCAACAAGATTGGCGTGGGAGTAGTGCGGGATGGCAGGGTGTTGGCGAACCCGCGGCGGACTTACGTCACCCCTCCGGGCACAGGTAAGTGAGTAGCGGGCTTGCAGTTTACGGCGCGCTTCACCACACTGTCACCCTCTATCTTCCTAAACATGAGTGAAGTGAGGTGCATTATCCCGTTTTACAGTTTTTGATCGGAAGCTCACTGATATTATGTGACAGTGTTAAGGTCACAAGGCTGGTGGATAGAAGAGTCAGCAGGCACTCAGACCTGGATCTTCAGGATTCTCTTAGCTTTTGTTGAGCGTCTTTTACTTGCCAAGCATTGGCTGGCTGCTGGACAGAAAAATAGATGTCGTAAGCCTGTTGTGGAGGCGGGTATAAATATATTTATACTATAAACAGTATCAGAGATGCAATCGAAATAGTTTAGAATCAGAATAGAGTGAGAGATCAGAGTGGAAAGACCCAGCTGAGACGTCAGATGGCTTTGTAATGTTCATATTCAGTGTCCATGTTGTTGGACTTCTTTACTGTTAAAATGAGGATGATCATTGGTTCTTGAAAATTAAATAAAAATAGGAAACACATTACAACTTTTATCAAATTTTGTTTTTAAACTATTATATTTCACCTACCCTCCCTTAATACACCTGCACACTCAGGAGAGAGCATCTGACACGTGTGTACCTGAAAAACTATATATGTATATTTAGCATTCACTTTTCTAGGTACTCGGACACCGGGAGTACAAAAATAAAGATAGCCAATGCTTTGAGGTACTCATGGAATTATAATTAGTAGGTTTTCTTATTTAGCAATAATTGTTACATGTTAAGTGTTGTGTATAAACATGTACTGGGTTATATAGGGTCACAAATAAATATCACTAAAGGGTATGGGGTAGGTATGACTTAAATTGAGTCCTGAGGCTAAGTTGGTTATGAAGAAGGACATTTCTGAGAGCTGAACAGCCTGTATCTCAAACAACCAACCAAACCTATTGTCATCAGATTGCTTCTGATTTATAGTGACTCTATAGGAGCTACCCCCATAGGGTTTCCAAATCTGTAATCTTTACAGAAGCAGGCTGCCACGTCTTTCTCCTGCGGAGTGGCTGGTGGGTTCAAACCGTCAACCTTTCTGTTAGCAGCCGAGCCCTTTAACCACTGTGCAGCCAGGGCTCCTTAACAGCCTATATGGAGACTGGAAATTATGAAAGGGAATATGTGAAAGCCTAGAAGACAGGATATTTCAGGAGACAAGGATTCTTCCTACAATACTTTTTCTCTTTTACCTACCATTGCTACAAAAAAAAAATCCTATGACCTCTGACCTGTGTCCATCTCCTAGGATTCCTCCCAGGTGATACAGCCCGGCACCACCGAGCTGTTATCCTGGACCTGCTGCAGGAGGCACTAACAGAGGCTGGACTGACTTCCCAGGAGATTGATTGTGTTGCCTACACCAAAGGTATGGCTGGGAGAGTGGTCAACAATGGAGAAATATACTTAAAGCCTGGCTAGGTCAAAATAGCCTACACCTCACCTCAGCCATCACCACCACTCCTACCCAACCTCTCACATCCCTATTTCTCCCAGTCTCTGTAGGATTTTAATTCCCATTTCTATTCCCCTAGGTCCTGGCATGGGTGCCCCACTGGTTTCTGTGGCTGTTGTTGCCCGTACTGTGGCCCAGCTGTGGAATAAGCCATTGCTGGGTGTGAACCACTGTATAGGCCACATTGAGATGGGCCGCCTCATCACTGGAGCCATCAGCCCAACTGTGCTCTATGTCAGCGGAGGAAATACTCAGGTATAGAGAATACACCACTCATACCTTTTTAATTTCTGAGGTGCCATACCAGCAATTTATGTGTTCTGCATGGGTGGCGGGAACTGCAAGAACAAAGCCGGATTCATCTGAGCCTAAAATGTTAGACATCAGAAAACCCACAACAGAGTTGGTAACATTGCAGACTTGGGCAGGACGCAGTATTGGGTGACTTTTATATACGTAAAGATTAGGAATCTCCAGTTTAGAAAATGAAGGATTGGTAAAGATTGAAGCCTTCAAAACAATGGAAGGTTTTTTTTTTTAATATCTTGAAGCTTATTTTTTCTATAAAACTTAATAACTAAGACTAAGGAGGACTACTCAATGTTTATTATTGGTGGTAAACATATAGAATTTGTTACTCCAGAAGTGTGAAAATATAAAAACTTTAAAAAGCAGTTTATAAATGGTAAAGGTATTACGTTCCTAGGTGAAACCAGAGTTGTTTGGGATACCTTACAAGACCTTTTGAGGCTGGGATCAGAGGACTCCAGTCTTCCTTTCCCACAGAACACCTGATGGAGTTTTTATCAGGGATAGTTCAGCGTCGTCCTCAGCTTTTGAAAGGGTTATGTTCTAAAACTTCATTTTGTGAAATAATTATTAAAGATGAGGAACACATATTCATGGAAATGATGTGGGAACTTCAGGAGGTAGAGGGCAAGGAGCTAATTGGAGCTGGAAGGATAACATAAAAGGAGTTTGGGGTACAGAAAGTAACAGTGGAGGCTGCAAGGGTTGATGAGGACAATCAGAGATGGAGTTTTCTCTTCTTCCTTTATGAAGCTTGCCTAGTTATAAAAAACAAGATTGAGTGGAGAGGAGTGAGTAACAGAAGTAGAAAGGCAGGATTTTTTTCTGCTCCTTTGTCACCAGCCTTTTGGTAGCTGAAATCTATTGACAGCAGCGTAAGATGTACATCAGAAAGGAAGGAAATGCGTAGCAACTTCAGCAAAGGAAGAGGACTTTTTATGGTCCCTAGGAAGCCCTCACTGTGGGAAGGGTGGAGCAGATGTGTCAGTGGGTGATAATATGTTCTGTGCTAGAAGCTAGTCACATACGAAGAATGGACATAAGTCAGTTGCCACTGCTGAGTTGAGTGAGTCGTTAGTCTGGCCCAATATAGGATTTTGATTTTTTCAGCTGTGCCTCTTCCCGTGTTTCCAAATACCTTGTTAGTATAATCTACAAGGGCGCTTGTTCCGTGCCTCTAAGCAGGAAAACCTGTTCCCTAGTCCACATTGTCAGACTGCTTCTAAGCAACGTATCGGGGGCCTCCAAGCTAGAAAAATGTATATAAAGTGACAATTTGCTTCTGGCCCAACCTAGAATATTTTCTGTAAGTTAGGAATTTGTTCTAGGAATCCTCAGGGTATATGGGCTGCTTCTCAGATAAGAGCTATAGAAAATTACCCATTCAGGATTTGATAAAACACTTTTCTTGATTTCTTATCAGAAAGTTCAGTGGCCATGTTGATCCTCTGCTGTGTTCTTCCCCAAAGCCAAATACTCGTCTTTACAGACTTGAGGTTTCATGGACATCCTCACCACCCTTAGGTGATTGCGTACTCAGAACATCGTTACCGCATCTTTGGGGAAACCATCGATATTGCAGTGGGTAATTGTCTGGATCGCTTTGCTCGAGTGCTGAAGGTGAGCCATTGGGGCTACAGAGAATATAAGATGTGATTGAATTTCTGGGGAGCCATGGAAATGGAGGGAGGAACTGGTAAATATTATGGTTCCTGGATATCTGACCTCATGCTTTCATTCACTTCTTTCCTGTTTTTCTCTCTGCCAGATTTCCAATGACCCAAGTCCAGGCTACAACATTGAACAGATGGCAAAGCGGTGAGGGAACATAAGATGGAGGAAGGCTGACTGGTGGGGCTTTAGGAGGTTCTTTGTATGTGTATTAATGAGGATTGGGAGGGGCTTTGGAGGGGGAGCAGCCAGCTGACTATAGGCTTAGTGTTTCATATAATTACTCCCACATAGAGGCAAGAAGCTAGTTGAGCTGCCATACACTGTAAAGGGGATGGATGTCTCATTCTCAGGGATCCTGTCTTTCATTGAGGTAAGTGTGGGAGAGGTGAGGAGATGGGGACACTTTCGTGCTTCTTTAAGGAAACATACCTGTTTTGCTCACCATTGTATTTCCAGTATATGGCATACTGTGGTTCATATCAGATGCTCAATAAATTCATTTAGCAAATAACTTATTGAGCATCTTCTATGTGCCAAGCGCTGTTCTAGGCAATAGAGATATAGCATGGGGCAAAACAAAAATTTCTCTCTGCTTGGAGGCATAGAGGATAAAGAAATAATAAATTCAAAAAAGAGAGAGGAAAAAAAATATGAAGTGTCAGATGGTGATAATTGCTGTGGAGAGAAATAAAGCAGGGTAAGGGGGAGTGTCAGGGCAGGCACTCAAGAAATAATTATTGAATTTTGAATGAATGCTGCCTTCTCTATAGTTCAGTGCCAGTGAAGGGCAAAATGTAGTATGGGATGTAGTGGTGACTTGAATTGTGGTGAAACAAGGTGATCCTCTATTAATTTTTCATCTCATGTAACCCCAACACCAGTATTTTCCCACCCCTGTTAATTATAGGATGCAGCCCAGCGGATGCTAGCCACAGGCGAGTGTACTCCTGAGGATCTGTGTTTCTCCTTGCAGGTAATGGAGTAAAAAGTTGGGACAGAAGATTAGGACTGGAGGAGTTTTTATATGGTAGAGCAGAACTAAGTTGGGATGGCCCTCTGGTGTTTTCATAATATTTGTTCTTCATAGGAAACTGTGTTTGCAATGCTGGTAGAAATCACAGAGCGAGCCATGGCACATTGCGGCTCCCAGGAGGCCCTCATCGTGGGAGGTGTAGGATGTATGTGTCATCTAATAATGTTTCTCTTTTCCTGCTCTTGGGCACTGTGTAGCTTTTTCCTGATATTCTAAATCTCTAAGGGCTTGGGGAAATCAGTAGTTTCATTTCTTATCCTGTTCTTCCCAACTCTTGCCCCCCAAGCCCATACTTCATTTTTCTAAGTAACTACACGTGAGGTGTATAGCTAGGCCACGTAGAAGTGTCTAAAACTAAGCTAACCTTGTCGCCTCTCACTGCACGTAGGTAATATTAGGCTACAGGAGATGATGGAAACAATGTGTCAGGAACGTGGAGCCAGGCTTTTTGCCACCGATGAGAGGTAAGGCCTTTTCTCAAACTTGATTTCATTTTCTCTTTTCCCATCACTCTGATTTTCTACTATTAGATCCCAAATTTCACATCTCTTTTTTTTTTCAGATTCTGTATTGATAATGGAGCCATGATAGCCCAGGCTGGCTGGGAGATGTTCCAGGCTGGACACAGGACCCACCTAAGTGACTCTGGAGTCACACAAAGGTGAGGGATTATATGGGAGATACGCCAGAATCAGCAGGGAAGAGGGTTCAGGATCATGAGAGCAGAGAAGAATAGATGATGCTAATGGGATAACCCATCACCAGAGTTTTCCTATTCTTCCACAGGTATCGGACAGACGAAGTAGAAGTGACCTGGAGGGACTAACAAGATTAACAAGATCAGAGTAGATAGTGCCCTAAGTGGAGCCCAAGGGCCTTAATCTTTATCCTGATGTAGGAATCCTAGGAAGGCTCTGGATTTCCCTCTCCCTTCATTCAAACTTTAAAATGACTCAATAATAAAGTATTTTTTGTTTTGTATGTTGGTAATTGGCTTGGGTTGTTCAGGACCAATATAGAACTGTATAAATTCTTGTTGATGGGGTGAATGATTAAGAAGGCAGGGGTCAGAGCAGAGCCCTGGCTGACTACAGGTAGCCTTGGAGGCTGCTGCTCAAGAGACAAGATTGAAGGGAAATCATAGATGATACTCTAGTAATCCTTTAATAATAGTATTGTCATACCATTGATAGTCTCAGGGCCTGTGTTAAGAGCTTTACATTCATTCTGTCATTTAAGTTTTTTGAAGTAGGTACTCAGGACTTCCTTCAAAATAGCCTGAAGCCGGGTCTAATTTTGTACTAATTTATAACTCAGGAGTAAAACTGCTCCTCCTCCACTCCACATACCTCCATTTGAGTCTTTTGATAATCAAAGAACACCACATCATTAACAGATATGAGGGGTGGGGAGAAATGGTGAAAGAATGGGGGGCGGGGATGCTACCTTTTTGTAACTACTATTAGTGTGACTGATGAATGCTTCTTGCTCGTTTAATCACCTATACCCTAGCCCCTTGGGAAGGCAGAAGCCAGGGCTCCAGGTCATTGTATGCAGAAAGTAAGAGTGGAAGGCCTTACCAGTGGTGGCAGAGATGCCCAGGTAGGAAAGTGTGGTCCACTTGATGGCAAGGAGAGTCCCCTTGGGGATAGCTGTAAGAGAGTGCTGGTAACAAAAGTTAGGCTATGAGTGGGGAAAGGGAGGGGAGACAGTATATTTGTTCTCCATGCCTGGACATTCTTCTCACCTTGAAGTCCCCAGAGATACTGGCCCCAGCAAGGACCCAGTGGCCACAGCAAGAAGATGGAAAACATACCAAAGAGATTGCCCTCTGTACCACGCCATTGTAGAACCATATATTTCAAGAAAATGCTTTCTATGTGAAAGACATATGAGATGGGGTTTTGAGGAGGCTTTCCTTCAACCAGCCAGGATCCTTACCCCACTACTCAGTTTCAGGTCACTGTGAGTCAGAATTGGCAACAGGTTTGCCCAGTTTAGTGTCAGTGGCTTGGGTTACACTGGGAAGAATAAGGAAGTTTTGTAAATTAGCTAGTCCAGAGACTTACAGAACTATGAATGGTTTTATGGTCAACTTGCAAATGAACATGCAGAATCAGAAGTCAAGGAGTCTTTTCTGAGGAGGTTTGTGCTAAGGAGGTAGGTCCCTTGCTCCAAGGGGAGGTGATATTCTAAGGCATTCCTCCCTTTAATACATTTCTCAGCCAGCTTTCCACTGTCTTGCCTTGTTACCCAAGGAAGCCAGTTGCTTGTTGGCTGGGGTTTGTGGGGAGGAGTGTCCTCAGCAGGTAGTTGATAAAAGAAAGGCTCTGGAAGAAGATAATTTGGGCCTGGAATACCGTGGATAATGAAGGGAAAAATATGAGTGGAAGCAGAGGAGTAACTACTACTGCGCCTTCTCACTCTCCTTGTTCCATCCTAACTTGCCTCAATCTCCTGATTTCCTTTTCCCGTAAGAATTTTGGCCAAATGGGTGTCCTTTTCCTTCTTGCCTCAAACTGCAAAGTGTTCCTTCCCATGCCAGAGGAGGTGAATCTCAAGACTGTAAATATCTAGCAGCAAGAAGCAGGGCATCTTCTCTGGTACATGGGATTGCTGTGAGTACTAGATGGCTGCTGGGAAAAAAAAGTGTTCCCCCATGACCTTTTCTAGTGTTTATCCCATAGGTTCTCAGAGTAAGTCCTTCCCATTGAAGAATTGAGGTGTGGAGTCTCTCCCAACAAAGCCCTCTAATTTCAGCTCTTTTCCAGGTGGTTCCCCTCAACTCTTGGTCCTTGGGAATCTACTCCACTAGCTCCTTCCCCCATTTTTAGCCTGGCTCTCTCAGGTGGCAGCTGCTTTTATGCATACATGCACACACCATCCCTCATCATCCCACACTGCAGTTCTCTGTTCTCACCACCATCCCTTCAGTGTCCTCATCGTCACCTCCATCCCTCCAACCCCCTTCCCCACTGCCTACCTTAGACTCCCACTCCATGCTGGTCAGCGCCAGGCCCAGAAGGATGGTCACGGTCACCACACCGACCACCCCCACAACTCCCACCACGCTCAAACCCATTTTCCTGATCCGTGTTTAACAGCTGCACACCATGCTCCTGGAAGGGCAGGACGCAGAGGTAGGAGGTTGTAGAGTCAGTGTTTATCGGCAGATTGATGTCTGTCGGATTCTTAAAACTACTTCCTGGGCTGGAGTCACAGAGGACAAAGGATTGGGTGGGGTGATCAGGAAAACGAGCAGACTTGAGAAGGAGGACATCAGAGGAGGAGGCGATGGGTATTACCCAGAGCACGTCTGAGAGGGTCTCCCCACAGCTCACAGTCTGCGTATCTACGGCAGCACTGGTGACAGCAGGTATCATCCCTAGGGAACCATGGAACTCCAGACCCAAGCTGCATGAGATGAGGAAGTACATGCTGTCTGAGAGGAGAGAAAAGAGGAGCTAGTATGTGGTCAGCAATTCCAGACAGGACTGGGAATCCTTGGAGCTAATCAGATCCTGACAGACTCACCAGCTTTGACTCTGCTGTAGGTGGGGATGGCAAAAATAGGCCAGTGATGGTGGTGATAGAGGCTGAGAGCAGGATAATGAGCCATGTGAGAGCTGGAGTGGGGACGGGAGTAGGGGCTCATTTAATTCATTTAGGCCCATCTCCCACCCCTCCCCTACTGCCCAGGAGAGCCCTCAGCGTATACCTGTGCCACTCTGAGCGGTCGGTGATCCAAGGTATCCTCAAGTAGAGGTTAACGCCCTAGGTGTTGAGCATGCAACAGGATGCATCTGGGGAGCAGAGTGGTAAGGGAGCAGCAGCGATCTTCAGTGGGAACCCATTTCCCCCTTCCCAAGTCCCCTCCTCCATTCTTGAGATTTTACCCTCTGAATCTACTCTGGAGTAAAGTTCTCTCTTGCTGGCCTGCATCCCCAACCTTTGGGAACCCCGAGCTCCAGTTATCATGATTTCCATGACCCAGCCAAAGCCAGTGCACTGGGGCCTTGCCCGGCCTCGCCCCTGAATTCTCTGAATCATCTTTCTGGAGTGCAGCTCTGCGAAGCCTCGCTATTCCCTGGCTAAGATTCCACAGATGCGGCAGATGCCAAGACCCTTCTCCAACCAACGAGTTAGCAGCTGATAGGCCTGGAAGTCCAATGGAGGGAGGGCAGTCCTAGGGCTTTAATGGAGGGTAGGTGGTGGCCCAGGACGGCAAGTATTATCCATCCTTCGGAGACTCACTGCCAGGCATGGGTCTAACCATGATCGAGCCACGCAACGCCTCCTGAGACACGTGACTGCAGTGGAGCTGTCTGGGACCATAGAGCTGGCATAGAACTCACGATGGGGGCCACTGTCCTTGTCCTTGGGGGGGGGGAGGTGGAGAGCCAGGACTTCTTAATGGGGTTCCTCCTCTGCCTGGTGGGGGCTCAAGGTGCTGGTTGCATTGTCTTGCTGCAGGGAGGCCATGCCAGGTGTCTGAATGGTCTGGGCTGGGAGAGAGGGTGCAGAGGCTGGTCACTTTGCCCCATTCCACCAGACAGGACAACCTGTGGCTGCGAAAAACAAAGAACATTTCCTGGGCTGGTCATCGCAGCCACCAGCTTGCTCTCTCCATCAAACCATTTTGGGGAGTGCAGCCCATGGGCTGAGCACAGCCAGGGTAGTGCTAACCCGCAGAATGCGACCTTTGGTTGGCCGGGGTACCCAGGAAGCAACTGGGCCGCAGGGGAATCTCTGGGAGCCAGAGGGGGTATTGTGCCAGGCAACCCACTTTCCCACCCCTCATTCGCGTAAGCCCTAGCCCTCTCATCTGAATCGTACAGGACAGTCATGCCTGGCTCCCCTGAAGTCGGCTTGTCTGCTCAGTCTATCCGGTCTGGTCCAGTCTTTTTGTAAGCCAGGGAGTTCACCCCCAACAGCCCATGGCCTGTCCTACTTTCTTGGGAGAGGGGAGGGGAAGGGCGTCTCTGCCCCCGCTTCCCAAATCTCTTTCTTAAGAAGACACACGGAACTGTGGCACAGAGCGAATGCCAGCTTTCGGGGCTTCATCCTAGGACCCGATCTCAGGACGCAGAAGTGGGTATTATCCTGGCCAAGGGTATAGCTACTGGCGCCCCTCCACAAACAGTCTGACTACTTGTGCACCCCCAGCCCATCCAGTCCAAGACTCCACTCCCGTTAGCACCAGAGATCGACCCCCACTTTCCACTAGGAGGCCAAGGCGAGGGTTAGATTCCCCCAGACTCTTTCAAAGACACAGGGTTGGATCTCCCCACAGGAAGCCCCACGCTGGGGATGGGTCACCTAGGTGTTCGTAGCCCAGATCCCTGTCCCTTCACCTCTCCAGCCCAGCCCTTCATCTCTCTGCCCTGTATGGACAGGGCCTGGCTATGTTTGCACTTCACAGTGGTATTGTTTACTCCAGGATCCCAACTTTATCTTCCGCAAAAAGTCCAGGACTGACCCAAAACACAGGCCCCCCCCCTTTCAAAATGAATAGATGTTAGTGGCCATGCCTCAGCAGAAATGCCTTCCTCCCTCTTGTCCAGCTGCCTCAGTCAGATGCTTCTCATATTTGTGGTGCCTTGGAGTGTCATTCTGCACCTCGACTGGCCTCCCCTTGGACTTGTGGGAGTGCAACTGCTCCCCTCTAACCACCCGCCCTCGCTATCTACTTCTGCGTCCCTGTCTAAACATCTGACATCCATCTTTTAGACAACTGTATCGTATAGGGTGGCTATGGGTCAGAATCGACTCCATGGCAATGGGTTTGATTTATTGGTTTTGTACCATATCAGCTCAAAAATACAAGTCAAGCTCCTCAATCTTTTACTTAACACATTATGGTACTACGTGAAAAATGCAACTGCACCTTTCTTGCTTTCATCGATGAAAATTGGTCTAAGATGTGCTCAAACTGATTTTCGTTAGTTTCTTCTTTTTCTTACACTCAGCAGAGCAAGATCATATGGTCTGCCTTGACCCATGGTGGCTCTCAAATACAAAGTACTGTATTAGCTTTAACTTATTGAATGATCTCTCACAGCTGGCGATGGAAACTGATGGTTAATAGAAACTGCTCCGTGCTCCCCCCACCCCCCATAGCCATCCCTCAAATGGCGCTCAGAGCAGGTTCCATTCCTGCATTGCCTTAGATAAGCCCCTGTTCTCCAGCCTCTTCCCATGATCAGTCCTTCTGGCCTGGGTCACCACCCGTCCCCGCACCCTCCTTGGCTTCCGAATGAATTCGCCTCCCTCAGCACCACGGCGTGACCTACACTTGGAAGGGGGTGGGGAGGTCATCCCGGGACCCGGCCCAGGGATTGAGTGTCAGTTCGGGCACCGCGAGGCCAGCCCCTAGCCTGCCAGTGCTGGCTATAATTAGCCAGATGGGGCCCTGAACCCCGATGCGAAGCGAATACCCTCTGCCACACGGCTCCAAGCAGAGCCGGCGCGCAAGTGAGAGGGCGAGGGAGAACATTTGTCCTTTTGGAGGAGACTGGCGGTATTCGGACAAGACCGGCAGGGTACGGTTCGGAGCAGTGGATCTTTATACACGCTGCTTGCATGCTTCCCTGCACCTCATGAACCCCATAGCTGCACCCAGATAGCCCAGCTGCTGGAGCCTGGGATGTCACCTTGGGAGGATGGGTAGGGGGGTGTCGCAGCGGGAGGGACATTTCGCAGAGCTGGAGGCAGGGGTTCCTCTGGCCTCTCTGGGTTTAGCTTTGACCTCCTCCTTTCTTGACTTGCTCACCTGCCTGAATCCAGCCGGCCAGGGCCATGAGCGTCTCGGGCACAGCGCCTAGTTCCTTGGACCCAAAGCGCACCTTCCTTCCGGTCCAGAAGGACGGCGTTGGCCTCCCTTTGCCCGCCCGGAGAGCCCCCTCCTGGCCTCCCTCCCCGGACGAGGATCCCAACTTGCCCCCCTTTCCTCTGGAAGAGCCCGGCCCCAGATCCCTGGCCCCGGGGAAGCTTCCCTCTACAGCCTTGTTCCTAGAGGAAGAGGAGGAAGAAGATGAGGACGATGAAGATGCAGCACAGCCGGAGGGGCTGCGCAGCGAGGAGCATCCGAACCAGTTCTTCGCCGAGGCTCAGCGGCTGCGGGAGCAGAGGTTGTTACTGGACGAAGAGGTGTCGGCTGGCGGGCGAGTATACGGAGTGCACCGGGTGATCTTGGCTGCAGTCAGCAGCCTCTTCCGACGCAGGCTGCTGGGCAGCGGAGGGCCACAGCACCCCCTCAGCCTCGACGTGGCCCCCCGGGGCTGGGAGGCAGTGCTGAACTTTGCCTATGAGGGGGTTCTGGGCCCAGTCCCGATGCAGGATGTGCTGGCCGCTGCCGAGGCCCTGGGAGCGCCCCGGGTTAAGGATGTGGCCCAGCAGAGACTCGAGAGGGCTGGAAGCACCCGGGAAGATGAAAAGAAGTCCAGCCAGGCGGAGGAGCTGAGGGAGAACTTGCGCAGTATTGAGCTCCTATTCCGAGAGGGCGTCGGGTGTGACCTGCAGCTGGAGGCAGGAGGCTGCCGGCTGAGGGGTGAGGGCCTGTGAGGCATTACATTATTGCTGGTGCATATGCTACCGGAATGGTGTGTGGAAACAGCAGGTAGTTTGATCCCGACTGTAGTGGTTTTGATCCCTGCTACAGTCAGAATCTCCCTGGGGTGGCCTTTGGTGCCTCTCCTGACCCATTGAGAGTGGAGCATGCGCAGTTGAGTTGTTTTCCTCAGAGCACTGACAGGTTTAAACTGACCACCCCCACCACCCTCTGGCTTTGCCTGCGCACAGTAACAAGGATTTCCTAGCCAGCTGGCTGGAGATAAGGGTGCAATCCATGGCAGCAGAACAAGCAGAAAGTGATTGAAACCAAAGGCGTTTCTTGGCATCGTCAATTCAGGACACAGGAAAAGCTAGTGAAACTCATAGTGTGTCCTTTCACCTAAGTGTGCTCAACACCATGGCAAACTTGTGGGTCTTGCAGCTAATGAACAAGGTCTGGTACTCTTTTGCCAGAATCTTAAGGCTACCAGGCATGGCACCAGGAAAGCTAAGTGTTAGCTAAACCCAAAAAACCAAACCCATTGCCATCGTGTTGATCCCAATTCATAGCATAGCAACCTTATAGGACAGAGTAGAACTGCCTCATAGGGTTTCCAAGGAGCAGCTGGTGGATTCCAACTGCAGAGCTTTTGGTTAGCAGCCTAGCTCTGAACCACTGCGCCACCAGGGCAAGCTGAGTGTTAATCAGATTCTACCAACATTTAGTGAGGTACTGGGTGCCGGGAATTTTACACATGCCACCTCTGCTAATTCTCACTGAAAGCTAATGAGATAGGTACCATTTTCCCTAGGTGCAGGTAAGGACCATTAAACTTAGAGACGTTAACTGGTGAGAATCGGATACAAGCCACATCCACTAGCCCAGTCTGCTTCCACTAGACCATGCATTGCCTCCTATGGTGCCCTACTAAAAACACATGGAAAATGGAGTCAGAATATGGGCATGTAAAGGTTTAAAGTTACAAGAGATTAGTTTAGAGATTATCTAGATCAGCTCTGACATGTTCAGTCACTCCTTGGAAACTGTATGGGGTAGTTCTACTTACACTACAAAAAAAAAAAAAAAAAAACCAAACCCGTTGCCGTTGCCGTCCAGTCAATTCCGACCCTAAAGGACAGAGTAGAACTGCTCCATAAGGTTTCCAAGGAGCTCCTGGTGTATTCAAACTGCCAAACTTTTAGTTAGCAGCCGTAGCTCTTAACCATTACACCACCAGGGTTTCACTATACTGATAAAGAAATCAGACTTCAAGATGTGCCCAGTCACCTAGCTGCTACTCATAAGAGGACCCAGAGTGCTTCTGGGACTCCTAGAAGGAAAAGAATCCCTGAAGTTTTTGTTACCATTTCTGATAGCAGTAGATGAATTTAAGATTCTATAACTATAGAATTCTCACTAGCATTTGGAATGTAAACATAATTCACTGCTTTCGTTTCCTTAAGAAACTTTCCAACTTATTGGTAGGAACCTGTCACTTAAAAATCCTCAGGAATAATGATGAGTAAGAAGAGGGTACAAGTGGTGTGAGCACTTTCACAGTTGTCATTGCACTACGGGTTGATTGATGATATGGAAGCTGAGATGGCTTCATCTGCTTCTGTGAATGCAGATTTTTCTCAGACAATATATATTTGAAAACTGATGTTTACCACTTGGGAAGCACTCGGCCACTACCTACTGCTTAAAAAGAGCACGGAAAGCCATAGCAACATCACCCGCCCTTTGAGAGACACAGACATGTCACAATTGTTCAAAGCAGTATGGAATTCATAAGACTCTCTGGTAGCTTGGCCTCTATGTGACCTGCCTGAGAGGACCTCTAGCAGCTTTTTTTATTTTTTTTTACTTTTTGTTATGAAGCATTTCAAACACAAAGCAAAGAGAATATTAAAATGAATGCCCAAACACCCATCACCCAGATTTAACAATGAACATTTTTACTGTATTTGTTTCATCTCTTTACTTCATTTATTTTTTGCTGAAGTTTAAATTCATGACATTTCACTCATAAATACTTGGATATGTGTCTCTTTAAAAGAGGATATTTTCTCATATAGCCACAACAAATTAACAGTAGTTCCTTAATATCACCTAGTCCACATTTATATTTTTCCATTTGTCAAAAAAAATGTCTCTTAGAGCTGCTTTATTCAACCCAGGAGCCAATCAAGGATGGTATATTCAGTTGTATGTCTCTTAAGTATCTTTTAATCCAATACAGTCCTACCTCCCTTTTCTATGATGACTTATTGAAGAAACAAGATTACATGGTTATCCTATAGAATGCTCCATTTTCTAGATTTGAAAATTTCCCCCACGGTTTTGTTTAACTTGTTCCTTTAGCCTCTCAATTTCCTATAAACTGAAATTTAGATTTAAAGGCTAGATTAGAGTTAGGCCAAATATTTTGGCCAGAATACTCCTTAGGTGATGATGTATGCCTTTAATTGAGTTGTATCAGGAGGCATATGAGGTCTAGTTGTCAATAGGACAGTTTCAGTGACATGAGGATTGTGTAGACAACCAAGCTACAGATACAGCAGCATGTCCGTTGTAGCCTGACATCAGTGACTGGATGGTGATGATCTGCCCAGGCTGCCACTGCATGGAAATAGTAACCGAATCACTTTCTCTCTTTGGGGTTCAGTTTCCTTATCTTAAAAGGAGTAATTTGAGCTAGATGATTTTGAAGGTTCTATCTTAGTTATCTAGTGCTACTATAACAGAATTACCACAAGTGTGTGGCTTTAACAAACAGAATTTTATTTTCTCACAGTTTAGGAGGCTAGAAGTCCAAATTCAGGGCGCCGGCTCTAAGGGAAGGCTTTCTCTCTCTGTCAGCTCTGGAGGAAGGGCCTTGTCTCTTTCCAGCTTCTGTTCCTTGGCTGCTTGGTGTGGCATAGCATCTATCTTCCCCCATCTCTACTTGCTTGCTTGCTTAATCTGCTCTTTTATAGCTCAAAAGAAGTTGATTTAAGACACCCCCCCCCAAAAAAAAGACACCTCCTACACTAGTACTGCCTCATTTAACATAACAAAGAAAATCCATTCCCAAATGGGAATGTAACCACAGGTATAGGGGTTAGGATTTACAGCACATAATTTAGGGGGATGCAATTCAATCCATAACAGATTTCTTTCACATTTCAAATCTCATGATTCCATAAACGATGGCAAGGTGGGAGCAGGCACACTGGAAAGCTAAGACTCATGGAAAATCTTAAGTGCTAAATCTTGGGCAAGAGGAAATGGCAGTCAGACAAGTTTGAGTTACAGCCATTGCTGATTGTTGTACCACTTTCCCAGCAAATCTGACTAACAGAATGGTGGATAGCAATGGCTCTTGCAATAAAGAAAAAAACATTGTTCTGTGCATGATACAGAAAGAATTATATAAGTTGTACATTGGTCTTTTTAGTTTATTTTGTGCCTGCTTGTAGCAAATGCTGTCTATAGCACCTTCTCAACTTGATCTACTGAGACTGTTTTTCTAACTCATCTGGATCAAAGAGACTAAAGCAATATTTTTCAAAGTGTCTTCAGGCCACTAACAGGGTGCCTGAAAATGTTAAAACACAAAATTTTAGGGTCTTCATCCAGACCTACTGAATCAGAATCTCTGGGGGTGGCTCCCTGAAATCTGCATTTTAACAAGCACTCCATGCTTTTCTGATGCGCACTACATTCTGGCCTGTAGCCTTGGGTGGTTGGCTCCCAAATTAGGTGTTGTGGAATAGGGATGGTGTCCAGCAGCCTTACAACACTCTGTGTCCCCCTCTGCTTCTTCTCCCCTCCTGCAGTGCACCGAGCAGCCCTTGCCTGTGGCAGTGAGTTCTTCGGGGCCATGCTCCTGAGTGGGATGAAGGAATCCCAGGGCACGGAGGTGTCTCTGCGCAGTATCTCTGCTCAGGACCTGCGTCTCCTTGTCTCTTTTGCCTACTCCGGGGTTGTGCAGGCAAGGTGGCCAGGACTGCTGAGAGCTGCTCAGGCTGCTGTGCAGTACCAGAGCTCTTCCTGCCTAGCTCTGTGTCAGAGAGCCTTGGTACAGGGCCTTAGCCCTGCCCGTTGCCTGGCCCTGTTCCCCATGGCTGAAGCCCCTGGATTGGAGAGGCTCTGGAGCAAAGCCCATCACTACCTCCTCACCCACCTTCCTGCTGTGGTTCTGTGCCCCACTTTCCCTTCTTTACCAGTTGCCTGCCTGGCTGAACTCCTAGATAGTGATGAGCTTCATGTGCAGGAGGAGTTTGAGGCCTTTGTGGCTGCACGGTGTTGGCTAGCTGCCAACCCTGAGACCCAGGAGTCAGAGGCCAAGGCCCTGCTGCAATGTGTCCGCTTTGGTCGCATGTCCACCAGGGAGCTACGGAGGGTGCGGGCGGCTGGGCTACCCCCATTCCTTCCCCTGGACTTACTGCACCAGGTGATGGTGGAGGCTGAGGTTCCAGGTCAGGAGAGGCGGAGGGAGCCTGACCGGGCACTGGTGGTGATTGGTGGGGATGGGCTTCGACCAGACATGGCCATAAGACAGCCGTCCCGAGGAGTGTGGTGGGCCCAGGCCTTCTGCTGTGGCATGGGACTGGTGCGAACTGTGGAGTGGGGGCAGTTACCCACCCTGCCTGCTCCTGGGCGTTTCCGTCATGGGGCTTCGAGCCTGTCAGGAAGTGAACTCTATGTGTGTGGAGGACAGGACTTCTACAGCCACTCCAGCACCCTGGCTTCAACTCTCAGGTATGGGTCCCTGAGAGTGGGTAGCATGTGGCAGGCCCCAAGGTGGGCAAGTGAGGGAAATTGCTGACCCAGCCAACTGTGGGCTCCCAGAATCACTCATCTAATCTCTTGTCCCACTGTGTTCAGATGGGATCCCAGTCAAGAAGACTGGGAGGAGAAGGCACCTTTGTGCCAGGCGCGGAGCCTTTTCCCCTTGGTGGCTCTGGATGGCCAACTTTATGCCCTGGGTGGTCAAGACAATGGCATTGCCCTCAACTCTGTGGAGACCTATAACCCCAAGCTCAATATCTGGAGGTGAGCAGGGAAGGGGGTGTTTCTGAGGTATTATGGGAGTTAGAATAGAAGAAGAGTTGAAGATGATAGTTGACTGATCTGTGTCCTGTTCTCTCTTAGGCCAGCACCTGCGCTTCCAGCAGCATGTTTTGCCCATGCAGCTGCTGTTTTGGAGGGCCGACTGTATGTGAGCGGCGGCTGCGGTGAAACTGGTCGATTCCTGGCCTCACTGCTGCACTATGAACCCAAACTTGAGAATCCAGGAACATTTCTGAGCCCTATGGGGGTACCTCGGGCTGGCCACGTCATGGCTGCTCTGGGCGGGCGGTTGTATGTAGCAGGTGGGCTTGGGGAGACTGGGGACTTACTGAGCTTCGAGACCTATGAACCAAGGACTGATAGCTGGACTCACCTTGCACCTCTGCCCTCCCCCCATGTGGGGGCTGCTGGTGCTGTGCTGCAGGGGGAGCTACTAGTTCTTGGGGGCTACAGCCACCATACCTATGCCCTCTCCCACCTTATTCATGCCTACTGCCCTGGCCTGGGGAGATGGCTCTGCCTGGGAGCTCTGCCAAGGCCTCGAGCTGAGATGCCTGCCTGCATCCTGACACTGCCCACCGTGCAACATGTAGCTTTGGGTCCTGTCCTGCACCAAACCAAACCTGCTGGGTGAAGGGGGAACAGCAGTGTGTAGGGGGTGGTAAGGAAGGGATAAGGAACATCATGAAAAGTGGGCAGAGATTATGGGGCGGTAGAGGAAGAGAGGCTTCATTCATGATAGCTTTTTTATTCTCACTTGGTGAGAATTTAGAGCTCACAAATTGCTTTTATATATATAATCTCCACTGAGGAAAAGGTGGTTCTAGAACTCCTGGAGAACAAGTGTAGGGGAACAGGAGGCAGCTGAATATCTGGGTAAGAGGGGACCCATGAGCAACTATACTCGGGTTTATGGATCTTGATGCAATTCTTGGAGGAAAGTGTATCTGGCTAGGTGGAGAGTCAAGAAGCTCCAGTAACCAAGGGGGTTATAGAGGCCATTAGAGAACAGTCAGAAAAATAATTCTCACCCATGGGTAAAGGAGAAAAGGCTATCCATGAAAGAGTCTGAGAACTGCTGGGAGAAGAGTCGACTGTAAATTGTTCAGTCCTTTCTACTGTATAATCCCTAGGATGCCTAAGCCCTCTTGACAATATTCTTTCTCAGGCAACTTTGTAGTCTCAGTCTAGTGTTTCCCCAGCCTAGGCACCACAGGCTGCCCTAAAGAGCCTCTGTTTTCAGTCTAAGGCAGAAGTTCCTGTGTGGACCTGGATACAGAAAAGGGGCCTGAGATGCCTGAGGGCCCTCCAGCGTGAAGAGGAGGGAGTGCTGTATGTGGGGAAGTTGAGAAGGGCAGAGGTGAAGGATGAAGGTGCCCACAGTGGGAAAGGGATACTAGGTTGAGGGGATGGAGTGGAAGAAGTCAGAAGCCCATCTGGCTTCTTTCTTTCCCTTTGGGATGAACTGAGGGATCCAGAATGAAAACAAGACAATTGTGGTATGAGATCCCAAGTTTTGAGAGAAATGGAAGAGAAAGGAGTTGGAAGCAGAAAATCTGATCCAACAAAGTTGTTCAAACCCCTCCCCCCTCTTCAGCCCTTTCCTCTGGAGTTTCTTTAATCCATTTCCCTTTCTGTTGGCCAGGGAGGGTTGATTCAGATGCTTCCTTTCTCCCTCCCTACATCCTGCCCTTCCTTCCTTTTTTTGCTTCTTCCTCTCTTCTTTCTCCCTCACACAACTATTAATTACCTGCTATGTGCCAGGCCCTGCATGAGGTACTAGCAATATAAAGCTCAGAGAGCTCCTGAGCAGCAGGCAGACTCATAAACAAATACCCGTTTTGTAGTGGACTTAGAGGTATGGACAAAGTCCTATGACAGCACAGAGGATGGAAGAATGAACTCTGCCCGTGGAAGCCTTCTGTTAGGGAAAGCATCATCGAATAGGTATAGTCTGAGCCGGATTTTGAAGGCTGCCAAGAAACTAACCAGTTAGAGAAGAAATGCATTCCAGTCAGAGAAAAGAAGCTAATGGGGCATATTGTGCCCTTTGCTCCACAGGAAAGGGGAAGTAGTCACTTCCAGAGGTCCTTCAGAGAATTCTGCTGCTATTGCCAGCCTACTCTCTTCTCTAGAGCCTTTCTGATAACAGTGGTTTCACTTTTTAAATCTTTCCTGTGTGGTATTTCTATGTCTGACCCCTGGGTGGCTCAACGCAAGGAAGGGCCAGTTTTTTGGTGGAGGAGAGACTTCCATCCCCATTGTTTATTAAGATACTCAGGCTTATGGCACAATCTCCTAATCGTGAGATGAAGGAGCCTCCCTTAACACCTTTCTTCGTTCTGGTCCTGGAAGTACTTGACATGCTTTTGTTTGTTTTTGTTAAGATTTTCTTATTTTACTAGGGTTTTTAAAAAATATGTCTCCGTTTAAGATAGACTAGGAATATAGCTGAAAATGAATAGGGGCAAGGAGGATATAAAAGAGACGAGAAGGAAGATTGAAGAGAAAAAGAATGGGAGAAGTAGGAGGGAATGAGAAACCATGAAGAGTTGTGTTTTTAGGGAGAACTTCTAAGAACATCTCCTTTATGATTTGCACCCAAAGACAGGGTTAAATAAAGATTTCACAGTAATTGAATCTTGTCGGAGTTTCTCCACTATAAAAAAACATTCACCCAAGATGGTGGAATAGTCAGATGCTTCCTGTCATCCCTCTTATAACCAAGACCCAAAAAAACAAGTAAATGGATTATATATGACAATCTAGCAGCCCTGATCATCAAAGACGAAGCTGAAGAGTCAGACTGAGCAGCAAGGAGAAGGAGAGACAGTTCAGAAGTAGCGAAGAAGTGCCGTTGTGAGGTTGCTGGCACCCTGCTGGCTGGGTTGGCTGGCACACACAGGCTTAGGCAAGCAGTAGTGTTTGGAACATGTTTCACCACATCAGGAGAGGCTGGGTGGTGGAGAGTCTGCACAAGCCTCCAGAGCTGGGTGGAAGCAGCGCTAAACCAGCAAAAGTTAAGTGCAAGCATCTAACCTACTCAATGAGGTCAAAATAACCCCTCCCACTGGGACTTTCACAGTGGAGAAGTGCCTCTTTCCCCTCACCCACCCCTACCCCACTCTGCTCCAATACCAGTCCAGCAGTAGTCAACAACTGCCATGCCCCCTAAGCCAGAACTCAGGGCTATCCATGCCCAAACCAGACTCGTGGCTTTAAAGAATCACCATGTTCCCTAAGCCAGGAACTCAGGGCAAGCACTATCCCTTTGCCTAGGCACTGGCATAAGGGGTTCATGGACTTGTAGCACCCTTTACCCATTCCTAGACCTCATTAGCATAAACCAACAAGACATACACCTGAAGCCTACTTTCCACTGCAACAGCCAAGGGGGAGTGGCAGATTCGTGACATTTGACACCACCCTGCCCATTAAGCAGGGACCTCACCCACCCAGACCACATCAGGGGTCTGAGGGCTGGTGGTATCACCCACTCCATCTAGCCACCCACAACAGGGTCTGAGAAAAAGTGATGCCTCCCAATCCCTACAGCATTGGGTGTCAAAGGACCAGATGCAAACCCACCCCCCTACGTGCTCTAGGGGACAGGGACACACCATCCACCCAAGCACTCAGAACAGCATCAGCCCCCTGCCTTGCTCAGCACATAGACCCCTACTGCAGCCAGATACTTGTGCCTACTCTGAACACCCCTATGCAGCCCTACCCATCTAGGACTGTAGTTAAGAGTCTGGGCACACACTCAGTGACCGACAACCTGGAAACCTGAGCTACATCCACACAAGAAAAGTAAACAGACGCATGGGCTCACACACCTGGTAGCTGCTCTAACCATCTGGAGACATGACATGAGAGCGTCAAAGATGCCAATAATCAAAGTAGCTCACATGCCCAGCCTACTTGGGCATATTCAAACAAAACAAAACAAAAAGCTAGGACACAGCAAGGAAACATACAATAAATAAATATAGTAACTTATTGATGGCTTGGAGACAACAGTCAATATCAAATCACATAAAGAAGCACGTCAAGATGGCTCCACCAAGTGACCAAAATAAAGAACCAGGAGGAAGATAACGTCTTGGAATTACTGGAGTTGGAAAACAAGAGATTAATATACAGAGCTCTTCAAGATATCAGGAAGGAGAGCAGGCAAAACTCAGACCAAGCCAAGGAACACACAGACAAAGAAATAGAGGAATTCAGGAAAACAATGCAAGAACAGGATGACAAACTTTACAGGTTGCTAGAAACCATAGAGAGACAGCAAACAGAAATCCAAAATATTAACAGTAACATTTCAGAATTAGACAACTCAAAAGAAGGTCACAGAAGCAGAATTGAGGCAATGGAAGTCAGAATTAGTGAGATTGAAGAAAAATTCCTAGACACCAATTTATTTGAGGAAAAGTCTGAAAAAAAGAATTTAAAAAATGAAGAAACTCTAAGAATTATGTGGGACACTTTCAAAAGGAAAAACCTACGAGTAATTGGAGTACCAGAACAGGGAGAGATAACAGAAAATACAGAGAAAATTGTTGAAGATTTGCTGGAAAAAAAATTCCCTGAAATCGTGAAAGATGAGAAGATATTTATCCAAGAAGGTTAATGAACCCCACACAAGGAAGATCCCAAAAGAAAGTCACCAAGACATATTATAATCAAATTTGCCAAAACCAAAGATAAAGAGAGACTCTTGAGAGTGGCTAGGGATAAATGAAAAGTCACCTACAAAGGAGAATCAGTAAGACTAAGTTCTGACTACTCAGCAGAAACCAAGCAAGCAAGAAGGCAATGAGATGACATATAGAAAGCCTTGAAGGAAAAAAAAATTTCCAGCCGAGAATCCAGTAAAACTGTCTCTCAAATATGATGGTAGAATTAGGGCATTTACAGATAAACAGAAGTTAATGGAATTTGTAAAAACCAAACAAAAGTTACAAGAAATATTCAAAGGAGTCCTCCAGTTAGAGAACCAGCAATATCAGACAACAACCCAAGAACAGAACACAGCACAGAACAACTAGATATCAAGCCAGACAGGGAAGTCACAAAAGCTAAAAGACTGAAAATAGACAAATAGAGACTTCAATATGTAAATGATGGCAACGTTAAAACAAAAAAAAGGGAATAGTATAGTCATAGAACTTCCATATGGAGAGGAAGTTAAGGCAATATCAAGAAATAAAAGATTGGTTTAAACTTAGAAAATAAAGGTAAATTTTAAGGTAACCACAAAGGAAGCTAACAAATCTACCCAAGAAAATAAAAAAGAATAAAAACATAAAGAGTCAGCAAACACAAAATCAACAATAATGAAAAAGATAAACCGAAAATACGTAAAGAACACAACTCAGCCATAAAATTAAGTGGAACAAAGAAACTGTCAACACCACACACAAAAAAAATCAAAATAACAGCAGTAAACTCATACCTATCAATAATTGTACTGAATGTAAATGGACTAAATATACCAATAAAGAGGCAGAGAGTGGCAGAATGGATAAAAAATACGATCCGTCTATATGCCGCCTATAAGAGACACATCTTAGACTCAAAGACACAAAATAAAACTCAAAGGATAGAAAAAAATATATCAAGCAAACAACAACTGAAAAAGAGCAGGAATGGCAACATTAGTCTCTGAAAACTA